ACAGACAAATACAGACACGACCAAACACGTCTAAGTTCTAACACGCACACACGCATACAAACGACCACTGTGTCACAGACCTAAAAACACAAGAATGCTAAGAAGACAGTAACAGACAAATACAGACACGACCAAACACGTCTAAGTTCTAACACGCACACACGCATACAAATGACCACTGTGTCACATACCTAAAAACACAAAAGAATGCTAAGAAGACAGTACAGCCCTAAGAAGGCAGTGTGGGTGTGCGAGTAGTTTTTTTTTTTGGGCCAAGTACGTTGGAATCACATATTGATAGGTGATTGAATCGGCGTTGCTAAGAACCACGTGGTGTGAATAATAAGGATCTTTCTTTCTTTAGGGTTTGGATATACTCTAGTCACATGATATTGATAGGTGAGTGAATAGGCGTTCATACGAACCACGTGGTGTGAATAATAAGCCTAAAAAATAAGGTCCTGGTGAGTGACCGACTCGGAGGGCCGGTGTGACTCATGCTTGGTATCTACTATGCTTTGCAGCTTCGGGAAAACAGATGTACAAACGTTTGTTAGGAAAGCTAGCTGGTGTTGAGAGGGAGATACAGGACGTAAAGGCCTCGTCGTTTCCATAGAGCCTATCCTGTTGATGACACGCTTCGAGACTGCGTTCTATTTGACCTGGTTGTTGAAAAGCCTGATATCGATGCATCTTTCGGAGCATTCGCAATTTCATGACGGCCTTTGTGTTTGGTAATGGGCTTTGCGGTCCATCTGCTTCTTCCTTTGGAGTACGATTACGCTGTGTGATTTCGGTCACTTCAGTCACTGAGATAGGTTGGGCATCATCAGGAGCGATTGGTCTTCAGTCGACCAGCTATGTGACTGACCATTGACGCTTACTTCTGGAACATTTTGTATGTGTTTTGCAAAATTTGGATTGATTGGTGATCTTCATAGAGACGGGAGGAAGAAATGAGAAGTAAGTGCCCGAGGGTCGAGACGAGTGATGCTCGAGAGTGGGGATTGTCATAATGAGGGCAAACACCGCCACAAAGGCAGTTGGTTTGATGGATGTATGCTCTCAAAACGGACATGTGAGGCCTGCTATGACGGATGAACACAGGTTGTTGCAGTAGCAGACCTCTGCACACACTTCGGTGCGTTGCTGCTTAGATAAAAGAACCTATTTTGACAACAATTCCACAAGGTGAGGGATGTGACCGGGACAATAGGTAAGTAGCCGTGGTTCGTATCTAGCAGTGATCCCGATGTCACCCATAGCTTCAACACACTTTGGTGTAGAAATGACTGTGGAATCGGCTGTCACGCAGAGAGAATGTTGAGATTCTTGAGAAGAAACAAGTCACATCCCTTACGCTGCTCTTATCCAAGCAATTGATCCTTACTTCAGGAGCACTCTGCATACACTTTGGCACTTTGCATTGATTGGTGATCATCATGGAGTGGGGAGGAAGAGATCAGTACCCAACACGGGCGATGCTCTAAAAACTGTGGCTGTTCGTTGACTGTGACCCAAACCTTTGTACTCTGACAGGACGGTCTCGACTCTCTTTCCATATGAATTATTTGAATTTATTTCGTGTTTCTCACATAGTTTTCCCCGAATTAGCATCCAGAGGGGCTTTAAAATCCATAAATTATTGGTAGTTGTTCATCTATGGATCTGGGAGGAATGAGCCCCTCGTTAATGCTGGAAAAGGCCCTGTCCACCCAAGTGAACAGGGGGACTGCAAAATTAGGCCCTTACCTGAGTCCAGGCAGATGTTAGCAGTAATTGGGGCCCTGTTGGAAGTTGCTGCAACCAGCATCTTCAACCAATAGGTATGGGCCTTATGGCCCAACCTCCTATTGGTTGAAGATGCTAGCCTTGATAGGGCCAACGGCTCAAGATGCTGATGCCCAGGGCACAGGATGCTGCGGCCCTCATCTCACGCAGTTAGGCCCCGTGCAGATTCTCGAAGGGACCAGGGCGCACGATACTGGGACTGGGCCCAGCATGGTCGGATGACCTCCCAGGCTCCCAGCCAGCACAAAAGACTCGAAGGCCGGCTCACTGCACATTCTGGGCAGCAAGCAATGCGGCAGGGGCTGCACCAGTTCTTGCGGGGGAGAGGAAGCAACGCCAAAGAAGGAAGCTGCGTGGTGGTAGGCAGCAAGAGGGTGAGCGACAGCCATAGCCTGGTTACTTGCTCTAGCGCAAAGTGGCGGGGGATGAGTGCAGATCCTTGGGCAAGAATGGACAGATAGGTGATGGAAAGGCGTAGGCAGTGTGACAAGGCACGTACCTGGCGTTGAAAAAGCGGGTTGTTTAATCAGAGTCCTCGGGAGCCATCTGGCTGATCTTCCATCCGGACCTGCTGTATGACTCAGGGTCCAATAGGAGCGTCTGTTAGTAGTCTGGGACCTGGGTGGGGAAGCCAGTTCCAGCCACTAGTAGGAGGGCAACATTGTTGTACATTGGTGAGGCGAGAGAGGGCTTTCATTATCACGAAACTTCAATGCTTTGCTCAATCTTATTTGGTGTGCTTTGCATTCTGCTTTCAGTTCGGTTCAAAGTTATCTGAACTTGTGTGGAATGTGGTAATTTGCTTTACTATCATTGACATTGCTCATTTCCTTGCAATTCGGTACAAGAGCTGCCCCGTAGGCTTTCGCCACTTCCCTCCATTGCTTTTGGTTGGTTTGGTGCCGTGTCGTGTGATCACGATTGTCCTGAACAGGTGTTCGTCCACTCCTTGGGCAGAGAGTCATCTCTCAGAAGGCTTGGTAAACGGGGGAATGAATTATTTTTGTAGTTGTTGTTGTGACTCTTGTGAGTGAAGTGATGTGGCCATTTCAACGACACTTGCATTGTATCGGCAGGCTGGCGGCTGTTCCAATCCAATGATACGACCACCGACCGGTGAAGTAGTGGCGCATCATCAGAGGAGCAGAGTTGGTGAGAAATATGTGGTTGGGGGCAAGTTAGGCAACATTAACAAGGTACATTGTATCTGACCTTATTTACCATCATTTTGACATTTACTCTTCTTGCCGCGAGGAGGAGAGTTCCACCTGAGACTCAGAGAGTCCTCTCTTCTCTTGGTTAGGACTCAGGAGAGAGAGAGCGCTCTACCTTGAGAGTCAGCATTCTTTTGGTGCATCTGGAGTGAAAAGGGCAGTGCCTGTGAACAGTGTGAAGTGCCTCGGAAGGTCAAAGCACAGGTCATGTCGAAAGACATCCCATGAGAGTAGTGCAAGTATGCATGCACAAAGCGCTTAAGCTATTGCTGGGCATAGAAGTGACTTGGGTCAGCCAATCCTATGGCGGAAAGACACGTACCAGACCGTCTATAAAGAGAGTCGAGAAACAGTCACTGTGGCAGGACAATCCAGTCATGCTGCATGCGACTATAAATAATTTGCAAAGTCGGTTGGCCAATGGCCTCCCCCATGGGCACACCGGTGGGCCTGTTCACTGTAAGACACTACTGTTTTTTCTGTTTGTTGCAGGATACTGTCAGTGCGTGGGGATGATTAGTGGTGAAGTTCCTAGAAAGGGGTGGATTCCTGCTCAGAATTGAAAACTTAAATTGTGATGATTCTATATTTCCGCATTCCGTGCATGTCCTAGGAAGCAAGTGATCTCTTTTATGTTTGATCCGTTAGCTGAACATAGCTGGAAAGACAGATTGCTGGTCCTAAATTCCTAATTGAAGGTGCTGGTTGGAAATGGATAGCTACCAAGTCAGTTTGCTTTCTGCGTCGTTAATTTTAGAACTGATCAATAGGACATGTCATTTGCATTGGTCTGTGTGTTTCTGCATCGCCGTCGAGAGGGAAGTAGCCGAAGTACTGGCCCGGTAATTATTTGAAGTTATTTTTATCTTTTTTTTTTTGCGCCCGTCAATTTCTAAATTGCGGAAGGAATGTGGGACCATTGTGGGTAGTCTGTTCTAGTGGAAGGAGACTTTGTTCTGGGCTGTATGACCAACGACGGGAGTGATGCTGAGGAAGATCAGGGATGGTTGACCAGGAGAGCTGCATGTAGCTTTCCTTAAGTCTTGCCGCACTTAAGTGCGAGAGGGACTTTAAGAGACAGGCTGCCGCCAGGGCCCAGGAAGAAATCACCCAAAACCAGGCTGCAGCTGAGTAAGTAGAGAGGGCACTAGATGCCTTGACACTGCTGACAGGCGTCCGGTAAGGGCACCACAAGTAACAAGTGGTGCTGGCCCCTGCTGGGCAGCCTGCAGGTAGCTTCGCAGGCCCGCAGGGTCGTAACCAGGTAAGAGGGGAATGGAGTGTGGTCAAGCCAGTCCCTCACGCACAGCGAGGGCACCCTATCTCAGGGCTGCTCAAGAACTGGAAACTAGAGCCTGAAATGGAAGAACTGCCTTGGTGACAGCCTGACAGGAGGGGAGACTAGGGGGACATAGATGGAATGTACCTGGCCAACATGTAGTTGTACAGGCCTTAGAGAGCACCGAGCAATGCCTGTTCCCAAGCCAGCTCGCAGAGGCAGCCCGCCTAAACCGCCGATGCAGTTCAGGGTTGCCTTTACAGATCATAAGGATCCTAAAGAAGATTGGTGGGTATTACTGGTTAACCAGAGAGGATGTGATGAAATTTGAAAGGGACATGTGGAATGATTCAGAAGGTTTCTCTCGAGGCAGTCTCGGGACTTTTGAAACGGATGGGGAGGAAATGTGAGGCCTGCAAAATTTGGACTTGTGTGGATTGTTGGAATTTGGTTTATTGCCATTTGCATTTCTTATATCCTTGCACATCTGTTATTTAGCTTAGACGGACATGAGGAAATGCTATGTAATTACTCCTTTCAACTAACGGGATTTCGGAACATGATTATATGAAGGCTTATGCTCACTTCAACTGACTTATTTCCTTTCCATGGCAGTGGCTATCGCTACTATGTCCTCTGATCTGACCATGTGTGGCACACATGTTTTAATGTATCGGAGGTCTAGCAGGGCCGGATCATTTCGTATGCTGTTGAGTGGAATATTGCCCTCTCTGAGCACAATTCAGACAGGCCATCAGAACGCACATAGTTGTCATAGTATCCCAGTGGCACACCACCTTTACTCTCTCTTTGAGCAAAGTCCCTCAGAGAACAGGTCCCAGAATGGCGATGTATCTTTCCATGCTTTCCCTGTTCTAGCGGAGGATTCACTCCCGCTTTGCACATAGCCAAAGTAGTGGAGTGAGGCCCCAATTCTTCACTGTTTGTAGTATGCAGGTGATTTTTTAGGTCTCCCAGTAGTACTCCTACAGTTAAAAAAACACGAGCATGTTAAGATCCAAATTTGTGATTCCTAGCGGGTTGGGACAGGGGCTGTCTTAGGTAAGACCTTGATCAGGGTAGGACCAGTAGACAATGCCTGGGGTAGCCCTGTGGAGTGTCCGCTGCCTGACCAACCGGGGAGGGCGCTCATAGGATTCGAAAGTGTATAAGACAATCACGCCTGGCGACCGAAGTGCCCGCATGACAAGGCTCGTTCTATAGTGCTTCAACTGCGGCTGGGAGGGGTGTCCTGGCCTAGCACTGGTGCCTGCAGCCGTTGTCCGGTACATCCAAGGTAGGGCCAACAAATGCCCCCCTATATTGAGAAGCTGGAGTTACGCTAAGGAAAATAAGAACGTTGAAGTAGGAAGGGGTGGGTCCGGTGAGCACATATACATTAAACAAAAAAAAAAAAGGGAAAACTACCCGGGAGTCACAAAAATGGGTTATAATTGCACTACATGGCCAAGATACAGTTTTGAATTGCAGTTCGGGCAATGTATACAACCCAACTTTCTGGTCAACCCAGTTTGGAATTATGATGTCGCGGGAACCAGGATAGGATGTTCTTCTTCTGGGGCAAGTAGGTTGGACGGTTGGAGTCACACCCAATGTCCAAAATAGGCAATTTTAGAAGAGCTCCCCAAATGGAGCCAAAAGGGAGACCCCCTAATTTCCTAAATCTGTCAAGTGCCACTGCGGGTAACGACAGGTGCAGTTTTAGGCCCCCGCTAAACTTGCTCATCCCGAAAATCACAACATGACACCAGCTCCACTTCGTCTTTTCTTGCCTATTTCAAACTAAAAGTCTGTCACAGCCACAGTTCCCCCTATTCTTTTTTTTTCCCGACACTCTTCTTATGAAAATTTTGTAGCATTTCTTATGATTTGATTATCACCCTTCCGCAGGGGCAGTGGTAATCTTATCTGTATCGTCCCAGTTTTAACGAATGTCCCCTAGGGTTTATGCTTCAGGGCAAGGATGCTTGTGCCTTATAGTATGCGTGCCAATGATGGCAGAGAGATGCTGTTTTTTTTGGACAGGGGGGAGGGGGGTTGAGGGCGAGAAAGCGTGAAAACAGGCAGATGACGCCTGCCTGAACAACATCATTCATTTGATAGAGCGCTGAATTGGATATTGCAGACAAATAAATAAGTGCAGGCCTGGATTAGGCTTAGCTTCTCACTGCGGCCTTCACCTCCGCACAACTGTGGATGATATCGTAGTTCACCGCCTGTGTGTGTCTGTTGTCATCTTTGCCTGCCATGTGAGATCTAGCATGAGGTAAAAGGTTCAAAGGTTCTGCAACGACGTATTTCTGCACCTGTTTTTCAAGTAGTGAATCATGTGTGAGAACCGTCATAGAACGCATCCTCTCTCTCTCTCTCTCTCTCTCTCTCTCTCTCTCTCTCTCTCTCTCTCTCTCTCTCTCTCTCTCTCTCTCTCTCTCTCTCTCTCTCTCTGTGTGTGTGTGTGTGTGTGTGTGTGTGTCACGGGAGAACTGGAACTCTCTCGCCGAGGGGACCGGTTCCACTGTGTGGGAAGGCAACCGTTGCCTATCCCGGAAGTCTGCCTAAACCGCAGTGGAGGGGAATAGAATGAATGGAAATCTGTTANTGTGTGTGTGTGTGTGTGTGTGTGTGTGTGTGTGTGGGGGGGGGGGGGGGGGGGGGTGTGACTCCCTCTTTCTCTCTCGCACGTGTGCAGGAGAGTGCCCTCGCTCGCTCGCTCGCTCGCTGTGTTTTGCTGTGCCAGCCCCGAAACACATGTGGCGTCCACGGCTGTTGTTTTTCATGCGCATAGCGCGCTGCTCACTGCTCACTATGAACTCATTCAATATCTTTCACTCGTAGTTTTCATCATCGTCTTGACAAACCTTTAAATCAATCAATCGATAATTGGAGAATTCTTCTTCGCCCTCCTAAGCCTCCTTCCAATGGTGCGCAACTGTTTCGACAGACTTTTTGTTTCTTATCGAACCTTGCGTTGGTGGTATGTTGCTGTGCAATTATGCACGTGCAACTCCATTATACCGGGAGGGATAAGTGTGACAGACTGTTCCGTCGTACGTTGATCATCTCGGCAGGTGATTGAACCTTGACACTCTACCGGATTTCATTTGATATGTTTCCGTGTCTGTACGACGGTGTACGTGTGTGTGAGGTGGTGGTGGTTTGCGAATGGCTCGTCAAACGAATGGAGCATTGATACACTGTTCTTATGCCTGGCTGCAAATTACTTACTGATGATCTGTCCTCTTCTATCCATTTGGGCGCAGGGCTTCCGACAGCCCAGAGGCAAAACGAGAGGCAGGATCGTTATCCCCCACGTGCAGTCATCAGCCCAGCACGCACGGCCTCATCTTTTGGTGTCGTCTTGGATCGGTTTATGTTTGTCAAAGCAGTGGCACTGGACGCGCCGCACTCCCGGCTGGTTCCCAACTTCCCACGAGCTCCCTTCGAAGAGAGTGTGTTGTTTGCGACACTTCCAAGGCTGCAATGTGAGGACGGACAGCAAATTGATCCAGCCAGTCAGGGACTTGTGACGAAATATGGGTGCCTACAGGTCGGTCTCTAATGTGTGTGTGACTGCCCTGTGATGTGTTTCACTCACACAGACACACACACACACACTAGATTTCCTACAGGTTTGTTGGGAGAGAAGTACGGAGTGGTAGTTGTGTGGCTGGCGTTGGTCGCAAGGTTCGACTGCAGTGGTATGTGGAGGAGGGTGGGGCGGAAACGGGAGGAAAGGCGTGGAAAGTGGAGGCCGTCTGGGCATAGCAAACATCTGCTTGTGCGAAGCAAGCCATGCTAGGTTTATTTTTTACAGATTCGTTATATAGGCGTGTAGACCTGAATGATAACATAACTAAGTAGCCGGAGGTGGTTCAGTAGCCATTATATGTTAGACGGTAGACGGTACTCTCCCGCTCATAATCTTCACTTCAAGGCTGACGCTCACCGACCGTGAAAATCCAAAAAAAATGGTCGTCCTTGTGCGTTCCTGGTCTTCATGTCGTACATTATTCGTCGTGCCGGGCACGAAAGGGCTTGCCTTTCTCGTCGTATTCACCATGGCAACGGTGATTGGAATGCATGTCAGCATCGGACATGAGCAGGTGTCGAGGTCCCGCCGGCTATGGCGCTCCTTACAGATGCAGCCTTTGGTTGACATGGTCTGTTCTCCGCTTCCGTCCGCGATGGCAAACGACGCTGCCCAGAGGAGAGAATTGCTCATTGTTTCGGTGTCGTTTCTGGACAGCTCGCTCCTCACTCTGCAAAGGGATGTGCTCGATAATTTTCCTTGTGCAGGGTGTTACATCCCCGCTCTCCTTGTCTCTCCCGATGACAGCACTTTATTATTCTCGCAGCAAGTGGCTGATAACGTGAGTGTTATACGAAAAGTGAATCTCATGTCATCCACTTCCCCGTCCTCGTCTTCATCTTCCCTTTCCAGTCTCACAGCCCTGGGAGGCAATGGTAGGTCGTTCGCTGCACTTGAGACCTCGGAGGACAGCCGATGGATTCTCGCAAGCGTCAACGATGGTCGCGGCATTTGGAAAGTAGACACAGCCCTTGGAATGAGAGCGGATTTCATTCCGAATGTCACTTCCCCAGCCTACGGGATGGTCATGCACACAAGCACACCGACCATCTTTGCGGCCGTGTCATCTTCCCGTCTTATGATGATACCTCTCGCCGAAGGACCCCTTCCGTATTCTGAAGAAAGCTTACTTCTTGCCGGTGGGATGGAAACCGGCTTTGCTTCCTCCTCGCTTAGGTCGCAGGTTCAATTCAACCATCCGCGAATCAGTCCACGATCCATCTCATCCAACGGCGCTTTCCTGTACGTGGCCGATACGGACAACTTATCCGTGAGGCGTGTGGCAACGGACACTGGCGCTACTACCAACCTCGTCCTCACTGCTTTCGACACGTCCTACGATGTTCCTCATTTCCCGTTATCCACGGCATTGACATCGGATGACTGCAACCTTTTCGTCGCCGGAAGGGTAGCGTCTGATGATAGTATAATCATCAGACTGCTATCCTTTGATGCTCCAAACGGGAGGGTGGCGTTCAACCAAACCGTGGCGAGAATCAAAGACAGCTCTTCGCCTGATGCTATGTACCCCACGACACAGGGTAGTGTGAATAGTCCTGTTCACTTATTGCCCGCGATGAAAGAATCGTCTCGTCTGGTGCTTACCCGGATGGACGCATACTTATACCTCAGCACACCCAACGGCCACATTTATGAATTCCAAGTCAACCGCAGCGCGCTGCACAAATGCAGCGCCTTCGACCCAGCGAGCCCCCCTGGATTCAACCACTTCTCGTATTCCTCTGTGGTAACCCCGTTGACTGCACCGTCTCCGCCTTCTGTTGCGTGCAGCGAGCTACCTCTCTCCTCTTCTTCTCCTTCCTTTTCAAGCGATTCTTATCCAATGCCCTCCTCTTCAACGAATCTTTCTTCCCCAGCTCCTTCTTCCTCTCCGAGTACTTCTTCCCCGATTCCTTCTTCCTCTCTGACTACTTCTTCCTCATATCCTTCTTCCTCAAATCCTTCTTCCCCAGTTCCTTCTTCCTCGAATCCTTCTTCCCCAAATCCTTCTCCCCCACTTCCATAAATCATTTCGAGTTTCACATATAGTTTTACCGTGAATTAGCATTCAGAAATGCATATATGGCATAAATCAGTCTTGGTGGTGGTGGTTCATATATGCATCTGTTATCTATTTTCGAAACTCACCCAATTTGAAGGGTGACTTCTCAGTTCGACTGACTTTATGCCTTGCGATCGCAGGGGCTATTGTTACTGCGTCCTCCTACCGCACGTGTGGTGTCAGAGGTCGGCTGCCTTTCCGATGGGTTATCAGTTGTCGTGTTTTTGCGTCTGGGCAATCACAAGCACCCGTTAGCCAAAAGAGCCAACGAGGAGCTCTCTTTCCTTTTCTTTAGTGTCTGAATTATAACAATCGGCAGGCACTGTCCGCATTAGGAGGAAAGCACTTTCCATTTTCCTCGTAACGTCTTGGAAAATGGATACAAGCGGAAAATTCCTATTAGGATTTCAATACACATTGAGAGCAGAAGTAATATTTTCAGCGTGGCATCATGAATTTGGGAATTGAAATAGTATTTTCCCGATTGGGCGAGAAGATTGAATATCCATGATGAGTAGTCTGTGAGAATTTTATTTAATTATTTATTCTTTGCAGGATGTCTCAGAATTGCCGTTCTAAATGACAAGCCAAGTGAAACAGTCAGTGGTCTCAATTTGTGCAGCTCCCCACAAATAGACTGGAGCATTTACATTAAAAAAAAAAAAAAAAAAAAAAACAGTCAGCGGTCTTCCCCAAGATTTGAGTCTATCCTATGAGACTTAAGGATAAGGTCTTCATAATCGTCTTTGAAGAATAGATAGAGGTTTTTTTTTTCCTGTTCTCACTACTCAGAGCTTTGGTTTTTATTTTCAAATGGAAAAAGCTCAGTCCCACAGTCCCACTGGACCACTTTCCCCAAGTTTCCCGACGATGAGCTGGTCCATTGGGACTGTGGGAATGAGTCCCACAGTCCCACTGGACCACTTTCCCGACGATGACCTGGTCCAGTGGGACTGTGGGACTGAGCTTTTTCCATTTGAAGTTTGCGCATTGCTTCCAGATGCTGAACGCGCTTCCTGTGTCGGCTGATCAGAGTCGATTGTCGTAAACAGGGTTTTAACATTTTTGGGGGGAGTTGTTTCGAGGGAGACGGCAAAGTTGAGATGTCATCGTGAAACTGACCTGCCGTGTCACCGTGTTTTCGTCGAATGGTGTGCTTATTGATTTTCCTTTTTCCTTATGTTGTTCTTATTTCCGATGCACCACGGACCACACAAAGATACTAAACCTACGCTCGATCGCAGAGATGAAGCAAACTGAGAGATTCACATCCGCGGGCCGAAGCTCATTCACGTGAACCCCCCCGACGAGGGGGTGTATCTCGATCCCTCTTGGTTACCTCCATGGTGGGCGTTGTCCCACAGGTGATCGATTGTGGTCTCACCAATGGACGATACAAAAAAGGAAAGGGAGGAGGAAGGGTGAAGAGGGAGACGGAGACGGAGGGGTTGTCGTCCGATCCCTCACGGTCACCTGGGTCATGAATAACTTACGAGTAGTCCGACTTGGTTGCCCCCTTGTCAGGGTGTTGTAAACCAACGAGGCATTGTGGGGCAGGATGGAAGCATCAAGACGCAAAGAGCACAACCAGACTTATGCTTGCAACTCTTTAGTGGGTCGATTCTTGCAGAACAACTTACAGATTCCATTTCTCCCGACAATGTATGCCTTCCGTCTCGCTGATGTTACCTCTCTCTCTCTCTCTCTCTCTCTCTCTCTCTCTCTCTCTCTCTCTCTCTCTCTCTCACACACACACACACACACACACACACACACAAAAACAAACAAACACCAACTCTAAGTCTCACGGCGCCGAGAAATTGAATATGTTATTGCTCTCGGCGTAGAAGGTCAACCCTGTTTTGCGAAACAAGCAGCGTAGAAAAGCAGTTTGATGGGAAGCTCAAGCACGGACAATGTCTATTTTCTGTTGAAGGACTTACAAGGAGGGGAACAGACATCAGCTTTGATAGGGAAAGAAGCTGCCGATTGCCAATTATGTTGGCTGCTACGTGGTTCAGTTTCGTTTCCGCTGGGAAACTTTGAAAACGCGGTATTTCCGCAATTACCCCTTAAACCATTGTTATTTATGTAAACTAGTACTTGCAAGGGCAATTTTCAACAGTATTTAATATTGTGGGGACAGTGGAGGCATGATCAAAATAGGACCTTCTTCCCCAATTCAAAAAAATTGTGACACTTTTCCTGTGGCACAGTACTCGTGAACCACTAGAACAGTAGTCAGCGTGGCCATTACAGCGGCTTGCGAGGCTGCGAAAGCCGTGGGTGTTGGGAATTTGCGGTCATCTAAAGGGCCAAGTCCCATTTGCGGTCAGCTCCAGGGGCAAGTCCCACCTACAAGGCTACACCCGTTTAGTTTAACTGTTTCAATAGCGTGCATTTGAAGTGTGTATTCTCTGTGCCTTCCGCCGTCTTCCTCATCTCGAAGATTCCGTACAGTTGTGGTGGGAGTGCATTGTCGCTCCAGGGCAGAGACCTCTAATGGGGACTCCTCTGTGTGGAGCAGGTGGAGCACAGGCATATGGGGTCTCCTCTGTGCCGAGCAGGGATTTCGTCCTCGTTGGCACGATTCTAGCCTAGAGGGACCTAGTCCTCATTGGCAGGAGTATAGCCAAGAGGGACTTAGTCCTCATCGGCAGGATTGCAGTCAACATGGGAAAGGAGGCCGAGGCTATCATAAGCAAATCCAGGACCCAAGGCTGCAGGATCCTTTGGATGGCTCCAAGTGCCAGGCGATCCCGTCAGGAAAAGCTGTATGGAGACTTTTGCACCTAGCTCCGCTACTCACTATTCGAAAGGAACCTGAACTGGCCCCTAGATCAGATGCATTTGGACTCGTCAAATGTTTGAAGGTATAGCACCTGTTCGGACTTGTTTAGAATTGTAATGATAAGCACGTTCATCCTCTCGCCTGAGACGGTTGTTTGGATGTGTGTTTAAATCCATACTTGCTTATAATTATGATGAGCAAGGTGTCATTATATTCTAAGCTTGTTGGATTTTTTTTATTTTTTTTTTGTCATCATGTTTAAGTATTGTACAGTTAGAGTAGTCAAGTATCAGACTTTTGAAGACAATATGAAAAGTTTGACATGTGTTCGGTAACAATGGATTCTGGTTGTCAGGAACAACATTTTTCTTTTCGATTGTAATAATGACTTAATTTAGATATGGCATCGCATCCTTCTTTTGCCACGAGTTCGGTCATATTACATAAGAACAAGAAATTTCGTTACTTTGTCGATGAAATTCACACTTAAATTTTCCACACATAAGAGTTTCTGATGTAAATGCAAAGTTGTTGGTTATATGTAATGTGGGCAGTCACAAAGAATCTGAATGGATATACTCACAAAAAACTTTAAGTTAGTGATATTTGCATAATCAATTACATACTGTCAGTAACTATTCAATTTTATCCTGCATTCACATACCACATTGTCATATAATTATGCATTGTCAACAAGTTCGAATATGATGTAATGTCAATGACATACCATTTTGTCATATTACACATTGTCAACAAGTTTGAATATTTTGTAATTTTAATGATATCCGCATTTTAAGTTGTCCTACGTAGGAATTTGAAATATGAAGTTCAATGCAAACCATTTTCGCTGCGTGGGGAATCAAAGACTCATGTAGACAAAGAATGTACATGCAAAGAGATAAATTGAGCTTATGACAAATAACACAAAATCTGCATCTCACGCAAGATACGAAGTGAGCTTGTCACACTGAACTCAAACTCATAAAAATAAAAAAAGGCAATGGTATGCATTTGGTTGTGGTCAAAACGAAAGTTGAACAATGTCATGTATTTCAACTCCTTAATGATAAGAACACTGTGAAAATGAAGCTTGGAAGTGTTATATGAGCATCAAAGACAACGAGTTTTTAGTATGCACGTTGCTAATTGTTGTCTAATACGCAGGATATCTCTCTCAAAGAATGGGAAAGGTTGTCGATAACCACATTGCAACAGCGTTGCAAAAATCAACATGAACACCCCGCAACTCGCTCCATCTACTTGTCATGTAACTCCTTCCGTCACAACATTTGTCTTCACAGACTTTCAACTCCTATGTTATCTGCTATGTAATGTTTCATGTTCCAAATAATATACAATGAAATTGAAGAGACTATTTGTAAAATCCCTACCAGCTACAACGCGATAAAAATAATCAAATGCTTTAAAGTTATTGTCTTTGAGGTTGACGGAGAGCAGGATCGACTAATCATTATCTTTGTGGACAAACACGAAGACCATATCATAATGAAGTATATCTACTCCTTTCGTTCACCTCCGCACCTCGCTATATCTATGAAGTTGTACTCTATTGAAGAAGACCGAATTGAAGTTGAAGACACGAAATTCCGACGACTTGGTACGTATCGCACATGAGGTCGACCCCAAAAGCGCCATGTGAGAATTTACAACTTCGTCATTACCCTTATCATCGACATGCAAAAGGGTGACGAGTTTTTTGCCACAATAGACAAATGATTCTAGGAGAGGCTAGAGAGAACTGTGATAGGATCCTAAGAGCCTCGTGTAATATCATTCAGAAACCTCAAGCATTGAGGCGCAAGTACTGGAGTGATACCTCCCCCGCATGCTCCATGCGTTATGACGCGCACTGTACAACACCGAGCAACGCACACGTCGGGCAATCAGAAAGAAGGTTTTAAGAATTGTCCTTCGCAACATGACACATTGCCAAATAATTATGATACATAATTTGACCCCTTGTTACAGATCATGGATATGTCCCCTTCTCTAGGTGCAGAAGGGAAAGACATTGGTCGATGGCTATGACATGCTCCTTCTTTCTGATTTTGACATCAACCGTTAATACCTTTAACATATCCTTATTTTTTTTCATCAACCCAGGGACTTTCTGCAATATGTGCGTCGGATATCTAAAGGATCCCATTTGCGATATGACCCTCTCCCTGTAAAATAGAACAATAAATAAGATATGAATACACATTTCCCTACACGGATCCGATGAAAGGATCATGTAAAAGAACGACACAACCTATAAAACGCATAACCTCTACAAGTATTGAGCACCAATTCTCTATGGCAGTAACCACTGAGACGCGCATTCGCGGCTCGACAACAAAGCGAAGAGCACATGCGAGCTTGACACCCCCGCGATAGACAGAGGATGACTAAAAAAAACTTCAGAAGCCTGAGGGCGGCTTTCTTCGAAGTCCAGATTTCAGTGTACTTTTATCCACAGATTCCACACCATGCACTCACAAACTGACCAAAGTATGTATCGACACAGGAAATGCGGATACCTACAGATATAACCACCACCGCTTCCGACAAGGGAAAACGATCCCTCCTGCGAGTCGGCCCGATTCCTGGTCGAAGGCGACGACTGCTGTTTAGAATGGGCATAAAAAATTGAAACACCATCAAGGAAAAATCCTTTCGTTCATGGTGTTTCATTTTGTTCAATTTCCCATTTCTAAACAGTGGTCGGCGCCCCCGACTGAGGACTTGTCCGACTCGTAGGAGGGGTGCTTACCTTTTGTCGGAAGGAGTGGTGATTTGAGTCTGCTGGTATCCGCACTTCCCGTGTCGATTCGTAGTGCGCCCAATCTGTGTGTACGTGGTGTGGATAAAAGTCCGTCCAATTCCGGACTTCGACGAAAGCTGCCTTTTAGCTCCTCAAGTGCGGGTTTACAGAGGAGAGTGATGTTGTTCACTGCTTACCAACGGATCTATTCCTCCTTCTCGTCGTTCGTGGAGTCGGCGTGGGCAATCCCAACACCGCGAGAGCTGGAGTGTTGTCCCTAGACGTTTGTTGGCGGTGCGAGAGTAGTTGCAGGCACCGAAGTGGTGATGTCGCTGAGGTCCTCAACGTTTAACGTGACAGACTGATGTGTCGACGCCTGCTGGCCACTGGGGATGTCATCGATAACTTCATCGATGCTCATATGACGACCTGGTCTAGACGGGCTCACAGCAATGGAAACCTCCATACACCCATGTTGGAGTGCGGCAACATTTGGAAGCGGCTGAACTTTATAGTTTGTATGCTCTACGGAAAGCCCATGAATCACTTGTGTGTGCATCTCTATCTCCGATGTATCGTCTTGGACATCATGGTCACGATGTTGTCTGCAGTGCCATACCTCCGTTCACCATTCACGGGCACTGTGAACGCGGGCCGGTCACCGGTCATGAAAAACGTGACCGGTGGGAGTTCACGGAGTTCGCGCAGAGCCGGAGATCCGTTTTTATTTTTTTGGCTGGTAGTTTCTTTTTTTTTCACAGGTGTGTGGTTTGAGTCAACGGGCACCTGCCCATTTAAAAAAAAAAAAAAAATCGATTGGAATCTATTATTATTTTTTTTTTTTTAAATAAAATATTTTTTTTTTATTTCGCCTGTGCTAGGCGTAGCATTCCTTGGCCGTGTGGGGCATTGTGAGGGTGTTTTTGGCCCTAAAAATAAAAATAAAAAAATTGATGACACTATGCTGGCACAGCGCCATACCACAAAAAAAAAAAAAAAAAAAAATGTCAAGCCTTGTTTCGCGAGAGGCGGGTTGGCCCTTTGCCAGGTGCAGGTGACCCGACCGTTTTCGTTTCGTGGTGCTGTTGGTGCAATAAAGCACCAACCACAACGGGGGTCCGTCTCACAGAGAGAGAGAGAGAGAGAGGGAGAGAGAGAGAG